CTGCTGACACATGTGTTTGCTGCCTTGGGAATAGGAGTAGCCTAGTTTTTCAAAGGTAACAGCCACAAGTCTTAATTTTCTTTCTTTACTCCACTGAGTTGGGATATACTGATGTAGGGTCATTTGGTTTGGAATCAGGTGAATGGATTATGTGTTTTCAATAGCATTCCAGCCCCATCACATATATAGATGAATTTGCTCACAGTCGCAAAGTTATGTTATAGCATATCTCCATAGCTTGCTGGAGCTGGCTCTGTTGGGCATCTCTTTCTCAGCTTCCTCCAGGATGGAGCTCTGGCTTCTCCTCCCCCAGGAAGCCTCCCATGGCACCCTCGCCACAAAGGCCGGCAGGGTGGCCCTCCTCCCACTGCTGAGAGATTCTCCGGTTGTATCAGACAGAGCTCCTGGAAGCAGGCCTGGTAGGCTGTGGTCCTCTGATGAAAAAGTATTTAAAAATCTAAAATGAATCCATCAATCTCTTTCCTCTATGGCTCTTACTGAGTCTGCAAAGGCCATACTTCAAGTTCAGTTTTCCCGGTTTATTCTGTGTGGTCGCACTTTCGGTATTTCCAGGGCTAACGTGCAATTTGACAGTTTGTGGACCATGGACTCTTAATTAGCATGTAGATCAATCGGCTCCTCCTGCTACCACCAAGAGAGCCTGTGTGTGCTTCTTTCACCCCGCACATCTAAGGGAAAGGCTCCATGCGTGACCCAGGTAAGCTGCTTTGGAAAGGCTGCTGACTTGTATGACAATCGTAGCGATGATGCGCATAGGCACTCTTTTGCGATATTTACAGTGCTTTCACGTACCACAAAGGGAGGGTGGTTGTGGTGTGGTGCATAAAACTCTAAAGCAAAGGGGCTTGGAGTGTGGGTACCTGGCTGCAAATTAGCTGAAGTACAAACAGGTACATTGTGCAAGTCACCCATCACAACCTCAGTCTCCTCACCTGTAAAGTGGGTACAATAACACTCACCCTGCCTATCTTGTAAGTTTATTACTAGGCTTACATGAGACACTTCCTAACCTTTTCCACTTCAGAGAAAAGGATACCTTTTGTTTAGCACCCTGGGGTAAAGGCAAAGATTGTGAGGCTGGAGGTGACCACTGTCCACTCTGGCCACCCTGCCTCACTTCCCCAGGGGATGAGACGATTAATTAATACCCACATGTCTGTATACTGATTGGGAAGCTCTGTTATATGAAAATATTTGAAACAAATCTTAGCTGATATATATAGACGCCCACATTCATATCCTTTCTCCTATCACATACTTATAACGTCTCAGTGGGGTGTGAGGAGTCAGGTTCAGACATGTAAAGGGCCGGAATCTAGGCCCATGGCCACCAAGAGGCAGACCGCGAATGAGACCCCAAGCTCGTGTCCCCTCAGATACAGTCTGTCTCAACCCTGTGCTTTCAGTCATACCTTATCCTTAATAATTAGCTATTCTGGAAAAAAATTACTGGACTAATTACTACGGTGATAATTCAGAGAAATGAAACATTTTGTCGAATTATAGCCAGATCATTCAAAGCAGTAAGGAGGTTGGCAAAATTTATATCAGTTTTATACTCGGCCCCGTCTGTGTCCACGTCCATATCTATATCAAAATCTCTATGTCCTCTCTCCCGGCAGTAAGAAGCATTAAACTTCTTATGGAGTTTCCGTATGTGGGCGTCTATATATCTCAGCTAAGATTTGTTTTAAATATTTTCATATAACAGGGATGCTCGAGGACCTGCACGGTTGAAAACCTTACCGACCAGTCATAGGGTCAAAAAATAACGACTGCTCTGAAGAGTTCTGTCAGAGCTAAAGAAGTATCAATAGACCCTAGTACTCAGATAATGGCCGGTGGTGGCATCTGGGAGCTTTCAGAAACTCAGAGCCTTGCATCTACCACGTTACAATATGCACTTTTAACGCGATCCCCAGGTGACTTTAGAGCACATGCAAGTTTGAGAAGTGCAGCATTAGAGGACTTCAAGGCTTATGTGGAGACTCTTGGGTTGAGTCAATTGTATTTTTGGTAGAAATGATGCAAAAGCAGTACTAACTCAGAAAATCTACTCTATCTTATTGATGTATTCGGCCTTGATCTGGACCACAGGATTTAGGTGTGGGGTGGGGGCAGTGACCACGTGCACCTCCCCAGCAGAAGGTGGTCCCATCCGAATCAGGGGAAATGCTCTCTGCAACGGGCCATGAAAACATGTCAGCACGGACGCATCATGACCCTTGTGGAATAATTCTGGGATCCTGTGACTATTCTGGCATATTTTAGGGGGAGGAACAAATACAAACACAACATTCTAAAAGGGAGGTGATGTCATTATAAAATCTGCAGTTTTACAAAGAAACATCAGGAGTAAATACAGGGAAAGGAGGAGGTCACTTACGTTCACCCAGGGATGCTCGAGGACCTGCACGGCTGAAAATCGCTGATCGACATTGACCAGCAGCATCATGGTGATGAGCTCCTGCGAAAGGGAACGTTCAATTCCATTTGACTAACTTTTAAGGTCAAAGCCTGGGTGTTTTCAAATGCAGACGTGCTCTTCTAGTTTGGAACAGCTCTAAATCTTAAATATATCAATTCGACCTACTCATAGCTACCTAACACCTTAAAAAGTTAAAGGAAACAAACAAACAATTAAAAACAAAGTTAAAGGAAAGGTGAATATTTAGAACTATAATTATATAGCTTGTAGTTGATAGAAAAAATAAACTGAAATTAATATTAAAATCAATTTCATAAAAAAGATTTTTAGTAAAAAATATACAAGTTAAAGAATTAAAATTCCTTTCTTTGCCTAGGATTTTGCACTTTAAAGACAGATTTCTAAATTAATTTAATATAGAAATCACATTTAAAAAACACTTTAACTACATTTTGGCAGCCGAAAGGAAAAAAATGTGTTTTTTTTCCTCCTAATTGCAAGATGGCACATTTAAGTTTGAAAGAAAGAAATAAGAAAAGACATAGAATTGCCAACGCTGGTTGGTAAAATAGAAACTATTCTTTAGTAGCCAAAGAATTCCAAGGAAATCTGTTAAAATCGTTTCAAAAATTTCCAAGTTAATCATTACAAATAAACTAGAACTATTATGCTTCCATTTTCAATAATTAACTAATTGTTTCATTCATTCACTCATTCATTTATTTATTCATTGAATGTATATTAAGCACCATTTATGTACTGGTCACTATGCAGGCACTAATGATACAGCAATGAACAAAACAAACCGATAGTCCTTGTCTTGATGGAATTCGCATGCTAGTGGGGAGAGTCAGAAAATAAACCACATAAATAACATGTATCCACCTATCCATATCTATGTAGATAGGTAGGCAGATATAGAAAGGTAGTTAGATGTATACCAGATGGACATAAGGGTGTAAGTGCTCTGGAGAATAAAACAGACAAGGAAGATGAGCCAGGTAGGGTGAAAGCTGTAATTGGAAAGCTCACTGAGAAGATAAAATCAAGTCAAGATTTGAAAGAGGTGAAGCAATAAGCTATGCAGAAATCTAAGGTAGGCTGGAGCTCGGTGTGGGTAGGGCAAGAGGCGACAGCATTATAAATGGAGTGGCAACAGGAAGAGTGTAAGCCAGGTAAGCAGGAGCACTTGGTAAGTCGGGATGGCTACGAACAGATGACTTGATGACTGTGAACTCTTCCAAAAAAAAAAAAAAAAGCTAGCAATTATGACTAAAATGTGCACAGAAATCATATTTACAATATTTTAGTCTTTGCACACTGTGAGTCAGAATCAATCATTCCATGAAGACACAGACTAAGGAAGAAAAAAGTATTAGAAACCTACCTTTGCAGAATCAGAAACATTATCCCAGTATGGAGAAGGAAAATCCACTTGCCCCATCAAAATCTGATCAAAAAGCACCTCCTGGTCATCACCACTTCTGTTTAGATGAATGACAACAATAAGGAAAAAACAGGACTAAGATGTCAACTCAGGGTATGTCACTTCATTCCTATTCCTTGGAGCCCTTCCTTTCCCCATAAATGTATAAAATGTGTGCTTTTAAGCAATTCGAAATGCCTGTATGGAACAGTTTTGGTAAATTAAGAAAGAATGAGTTTTTAAATTACATGAGGAAGATGTGTGGAAGGCATGTTAATCAGCACGCACACATGGAAAAATAACAGGCGTTATAAGTGAGGTTCTTATTATGGTCTATTCCTGCAGCAGCCTCCTTTGTGCAAGAAGGCCAAATAGATCATTCAGAAAATAGAAAAATGCTTTGTTGGTGCTAAGTAAAAGATTGCCGTCCATACCCACGAAACGGAGGGAAACCACACAGCAGGATGTAAGTGATTACACCAGCTGCCCAGATGTCCACCTTGAGGCCATATCTGAAAAAGTAAGTGACATCAGCGTTAGCAAAGTCAGGCTGGGACAAATTGTGAGGCATGGCAAAATAGATGATTCTTCTATTCTAAACCGAAAACCAAACCAGACAAAATAAAAAATGTAATGACATTAAACTAACATCCATCGGCCAAACAGAGTTCAAGGAAAGAATAATTTAAAAAGAGACTATCTAAGGCACGTGAATAAAAATCAACGTAATGCATGGCTAGGCTCATACCCAAATATAAGTAAATGAAGGCTTTTGGCAAAAAGGTTTATTATGGTCATATTGACTTTAAGATAGAGAAAGGCTCTTGACACTATTTTACTCTCTAATTTTAGAAATAATAATTACATATTAGACATTTTTCAATTTATAAAGCACTGACATACATTATCTTATTTTGTTTTCCCAACAACTTCGTAAGTCTTACAGGATAGTATTATTTCCTATTTTATACAAGAGGAAACTGAGGTTCAGAGGGGTTAATAATTTTGCTCAAGATGACAGTCGGGTCTACGGCCATGCCATCTTGAACGTGCCCGATATTGTCTGATCTTGAAAGCTAAGCAGGGTCGGGCCTGGTTACTACTTGGATGGGAGACCACCTAGGAAGACCGGGTGCTGTAGGCGTTTAAAAAAAAAAAAAAGACAGTCAGTGGCCAAGTTGGGCTCCAGCCAAGGTCTTTAGGAGTGCAACCAAATCCTCCTTCTGCCCTGCCACTGCCCTGCAGGCCTCAGAGTTCTCACAGTAGAAAAAGGAGCAATACCTGAAGCAGCACCCTCTGACGGAGGTCAGGCATAGCTACGGATGTGGCCTCCCAACTCACTCAAATCCGACGAACAGAAAAGTCCTCATTATCTCACATCTTACCTCGGGGACTTCCCTATTGGGATTCCCTTCTCATCTATTTGGTAATTCTGCCTTTCTGGTCTATGAGACAAGCAGAAAAACTATCTCCGACTGGTTGGTGGGTGCATCCCAGGCAATTAGCTGTGCTTTGCTGCTGCTGCCCCATCCCTCCCTAACCCTTCTGTTTAGGGCTAGTGCTTCAGAAACCTACCTATGATCCTTGTTAAGAATCAGGCTCTTTATGGAAAGAGCCTTTTACTCACATAGACCTGAGTTCAAATTCTGTCTCACTTACATGATATTCAATCATCAGAATCTGAATTTATTCATATGTCGAATGGAAATCATATCATCTACTGGAAGAGTAAGAATTAAGTGAAGGTGCTGAGGGCCTGGTATGTAGTAGGTCCTTAGTAAGTATTAAGCCAACCCACCTTTTCCCCTTATTCTAGAGATTTTCATTCATCTTACACTGCCACACACAGAAACCAGGAAATTCCCAGTAGCCCTCTGATGACTAAGGGTGTTTGTACTCCACAGATAATTAATGGGTTGCCAAGAGGGTCGAAATGGGACCACGAGTGAGGACTAAGGCCAGTTGAGAGAAGTGGCCTGTAAGACTGTAATGGCTGCATATGGCAGTGTCTGCTTTTATCTCCAAAAGCAAGTTAATGACCATCGCTGTATGTTTCTTTGTTAGTTGGCACATTTTTTACTCTGGGGTTAATGACTGCTGTTTTACCTTTAACAAAGTCCAAATAAGATTGCAGCAATTGGCAACTTGACTGGGAAAACAGAGAAAATGGCTCCTACTTTAAAGTGAAAAAAAAAAGTGAAAGAAATCTGATAGCTAGTTTTTCTGGATTCAAAGAGCGGTCCTGTTTCTCATATTCTTGAAGCAGACTAGATCTTTTGCAAGCACGACGCTTCAGCAGACACACAGGAAGTGCTTACCCGGTCTCTGCGATGATTTCTGGAGCCACATATGTTGGGGTGCCACAGACTGTGTACAGGGGGCCATCCACAATGGTGGCCAGTCCAAAGTCGCCCAGCTTCAGTGACTTGCTGCCATCTTGGTGTTCATATACCTAAAATGAAAGCAAAAAGTGAAATCGTCTTAACCAAGAGCTCAGAAACTTTTTCCTGAAGAAATAAGGGGCAGAGTGCTTTAAATTTAATATATTTATCATATAATATCAGGCAATTATACACAGATATATCTTTATACAAGAATATCTTTTTTAGATTACTGCAGAATTGGGAACATGGTGAACCGCCAGCAAATGGAAATCTGTTAAACAAATTATGCAATGGATGTTCCACGACCATTAAAATGGCGATGCGGGTTTGTATTTATTGAAATGAATTATGTTTGGAAGTGAGAACACCAGATTTCAGATTGGTTTGCATTAAGCGTCTATTAAAGAAAAAATATGCACAAAGAAAAATGACTGAGAGTATGGTTTGTCTGCCTCTGGGTGGCAAAATTGTGGGAGGGTTTTTTCTCCTTTTGTTTGTCTGTATTTGATGTTTCTACAATTAAAACTCATTCGCATAATACAATGAAACAGAAAATCTCTAGTGCAATATCTCTAATTTCTGAAAGTAAGTACTTCTTCATTTTAATATATAAGCTTTAAAAAATGCAGTTCTTTAGTAATTGAACAGAAAATCTACATGTATATTAAAATACTTTGGGTTTTATTTTTTTTAAATAAATACTTGAAAGGCATATTAACATTTCATTTCACCTGTGGCAATCTGGAAAGATTTATCAGGTGCAGAGCCAGCCTTCTGTCCAGGTTTCCTTATTAAGGGAGTAAAAGTCTCTAGTCTTTCACCCAACAAATCAAGAAAAGGATGCATGTGACCATAGGCAAGTATTATACTCCTTTAATTCTAACCCACGATCAAACCAAATGGATCTGCTCTAAAAAGTATCCCAAATAACTTCTATTATTTCAAAGAAAAGATCAAAAGGTATTTAGAATTCTAATCCAGTGCCCTCCATTGGAATCAATAAGATAAAAGAAAGAGAACCACAAAGGCTGGTATTCCCAGCAAAGGCAGTCACCCAGAAATGCCTCACAGAAATGGTGAAGTTTTCCATGTGCGTGAGAATAATTCTCCCAGGCAGCCGAGGCCCCCACGTTCCTCTGTCACTGCTTTGTGATCATCTGTACCGGCTACAGCTGTTGGAAACTCGCACGGCAAGGCACATCTCCACACGTCAGGAGTGTGCTACCAACACACACCATGTTAATATAAAAGTAGATTAACTGCTCATTTCACTGCAGCATGAAGTGCAGATGTTTGGCCGGCTAAGCTGCAGTACCGGCAACAATCATTTGGACCTAACTGTTTTGGATCATTTGGGTCTGAGAGGCAGGCAGTCCTCTCTGGGGAGACCTTCTTTTCTGGGCAGAAAATATTCTTTTGCATTTTCTCCACACTCAGAGCATGGAGGCCTCTACCTTAGGCCTTGAGCACAGTCAAGTTTGGGCTCCCTCAGACAGGTGTCCAGAGACTTATGGGGTCACCCGCACTTGGGTTGTCAGGATAAAGACATCCCAAGCCATTTGCGCATCACAGATGTGCTTTGCCCCTCACAGATGTGCTTTGCCCAGGTGTCATCTGGGATGGAGACCATCCTTCCTATTATACTGGAGCAGCCGTCCAGCCCTGGTCAGCACGAACAAGTCTGAGTCATGGACTTTAAGGTATCAGAGCTGCAAAGTACAGTATCATTCCCAGTGTAAATGATCTCAGGCAAGAGAAATCCCGAAGGTGCATGTTGGCCATCCCGGTCATTCAAATGACAAGCAAATGTTTTTCATGAAGAGAAATCTGAGATGGAAACATCTAGTAGATCGTCTAGTTTCTTTCCTAGACAGAGCCAAATTGTTTACTTCCTTGAGTCCGTTTTGTTACCGATAACCTTTCCGTTTTGTTACCGATAACCTTTCTAAAATGCAAAGTCATCTCTTGCTTTGATGTTCGATTACGACCAAGCATTCACGGAGCATGTTTTGTGAGACTGGGAAGATTTCAATTTCCACATCTCCATTTATACAAGAATTTTGTGGGTTTCTTCTACATGTAATGTGTATCGTCACCTAACTTTATTCAAAAGTTGGACAAATGCAGATGTTGGCAGATTCAGTCATAAGTTACGTTTTAGTTGTGAATATGTAATTCTTTCACACGTAGCAAAGGTTTTATTTTTGAACATCTACATTTTCACAGGAATTTTATCTCATATATAGCCATATGCCAATTATATTTAATATACCTGAGCAATTAAGTTCAATTCTTCAATAACTAAGGAAAAAAGCATTAAAAAAACCTACATAAAATAAAGAAAATGAGAATTACCTAAAAGTGACAGTAATTCTTAAATAAACCAACACCATTTAAATAAAATACCTAGGATCTATCTTTTTCACATTCTTTTTTTGTCTCTTTAATCATTTCTACAATGTCCTTCTTCTTTTTGCTTTGGAAACCATATATTCATGAACATAAAAAGGTTATAATGATGCTTATGAGAGACAAGAGCTTACAGACAAAGTAATTGTCTGAATTGTCTAATCCATGTAATTAAAAACATTTGTAAACACAAGATTATTAGAAATGCTTTGGTAAAAATGTTTTTGCAGGTGAATAAATGTCCAGGCTTCCAGTTTGGAATTCTGTTTAACTTACTGTCGGACAGGGCAGGGAACAAGGTTGCTTTGGGTTTCTCTCTGTCAACACTTAGGGAGATGGATGCAGAAGAATGCACTCCAGGCTTCTTCTTCTCCAATGGGAGGGTGTACCTCACCTAAGCTCCCACCTGGGGCTTGGCATCTGTGCCCTGCTCAACCTTGTCTCTTCCCAAGCCAGTCACAGGGGCATAAGCGAGGCCATTTAAAATAGTAATTAAACTGTTAAAATCACAGATTGCTAAATACATCTGTTTCAAACAGACACACGTGAGTACACACGCACACACAATCACAAAATCATCTCCGGAAAGTACTTTCCCAAATGGCAGCTATAAATTCACTTCGAACTAAGTTTTTAATTAAAAGTTAAGAATAGGGAAAGCTTCTAACACGTTCACCTTTAAAATGCTGAATGCTGAGTCCTTATAGCAGTCTCTGAAACAATTCTGACTTTGTTCTTCTGCATGTGTCCTCATCCTCACCATCTTCAAGACGGGACATTCGCAGGCTGCAAGCATAGGCTTGGACAGCCTGTTCCAGCATATGGGGTTCCGGTATAAGAAGGACTTTATGCTGTAACTGTATTTTAAAGCTTTCATAAAACATGACCCACACATGAGGTAGGAGTTACATTAATTGTCAATCAAAGAGTATCTATGACATGAGATAGAATTTAATGTTCATCCCAGGCCCTTTAAAGACTATAGATGTTCCCCTACATTTTAAACACCGAGGGGCTATTAAAGAGACGGGGATTAGTGCAAATTACCCAGTATGTAGTGCTTTCACTGTTTTAACTAAGCAATAAAACTGTGTAATTGTACAACACTAATTGAATGCAGCTACACGTAATTGTGGGCTGCCATATGCATCCTATTACCGTAAAGACTGTCAGTATTTTGTAAGCTACTCTTGTGATCATTGCAGATGGCTACAGTTGGAGAAGTTGTTCTCTAGGGTTTATTATATGGCTATAAAGACATCCCATGATTTGACAGACTAAATGTGTTAAATGGCAACAATTATGAAAAAGGTTCCAATTAAGAGCTGAAGGCATGTCCTACCAAGAATAGATACAGTGAAAGGTCAGGTATTAGGCTTTTGGCTTCCTGATATTTTACACAAGATTTTTCTTTTTTAAAGAAGAGTTTTATTTTTGTTTCTTTTTCATTAGTTAGGATTTCGCAGTAACCGTAACTTTCTGAACAGTAGATGTTTGGGCATATGTCTGATTTCCCATGGATTAGAAACTGACACCATTTGGAGAAGTTATTTGAAAAAATAGAAGAGTTAATATGAGTCATAAAATGCAGCCGGTGGCCGTAAAAAAAATAAGAAAATTCACAGCTAACGTAAACCCAGTCAAATGGTTTCCGAAATTCCCATAACAGAAAACGAAAAGCTAACTAACGTAACAGATGTGTTGGAACAAACATAATTCGCACCGTTGCTGTGAACTCTAAGATAACCCTGTTGAAACGCTGGCTAATGAATCATTAGTAACCACTGAGATATCTTTTACAGAGGAGCTCAGTAAGTACTAAAAATTATTTCACCAAATAGAATTGAACAAAAGTGGCATGAAATCGACAAAGCCATGAAAAAAATGTCAATTTACTGTTTAACAAATATAGAGGCCCTTTAAAAAGACATTGATTTTCTTCCGGCCACAGTATATGGTCTTTATGATCCTTTCTAAGGAAAATGGATTAAATTTAAATCTTTAAGAAGTGAAATATAACGACATTTATGCAGGGAATTAGTTTGCAAAATGTACTTTATGGACCACATACTTTAGAGTTGAGAAAAACTAAAACCATTAAATACCCGCTTGTAAAATCTTTATGAAATCAAAAGTTAAATGAAATAATAAAAATAATAAAGGTTTTATAGAAGTCAGAAGGAAGTAAGTCAGAATAGTGGTAACAATATTAGAGGAAAAAATAAAATAGTTTTACACTAGAGAAATCTGGGAAGACGAAGTGAATGGAGACTCCAGGAAACCTGATTCTCATCCTCACTTTAAAATAGTCATGAAACTATCTAAAAAGGAGTTCTTTGCAGCTGCAGCGCGATACATAAAACATTCCAGATTCTGTTAGCAATTGTATATCCTAGGATTTTGTTAAAACTGTGGGAAGTCAATGTCATTTCAATTTTAAAAAATTGTATTACATTTTGGCACACAAGTAATATCCAATATGTCATTGCAGGAAAATTAGAAAAGATGGAAAATTATAGAGAAAAGAAAATCACCCACATTCTTGAATAACCTAGAAATAGCCATTGTCAACATTTTGGAGCATGGACTTCCGGAGCTTTCTTTCTCTCTCCTGCTTTTCTTTTTCCAGGGGACAATATACCCTGACGTTCTCCCAAGT